GTGTCACGGAACCGGCAGTGAGATACCAAAATTCGTGTACCTAAGAAAGACACATGGTTTATTTTATAAAATGGTCATTGGATGTGTAACATTAATGGCGGGGGTTTGGAATGTCCAGATTCATACGCATGCCATTACATGTGTCGGTGAAGGCTTATGTTGAGTTGTATGTGTGAGTCTCATCTCATGACATGACATGACATAGAAAATTCTATTATGAATTACACATTCTTGAATGGATTATTTGTTGCTTGTTGAATTATATGTGAGCATTTCATATACATCTAGGTTGGAGAGTAGCCTATTTGAGAGATGTCTTATTGAGCGTGACTCACCCTTTTTAGGGACAATATTTCAGGTGTGGGACATGCGCTGGTGAATGGCTCTTACTCAGGCCCTCATTGATGAAGAAAAGACTAGATGTGGCTATGAATTTAAATTGTGTTTTTGTAAAACACATGTGTAAATATTTTTTGGACATGTAATAATGTGCAAGGAATTGCAAAACAAGCTTATATGAATTGTATTTTATGTAAAATTGTATGTTATATGAGTTTAAGTTGTTATTATATGAGTATGAATAAATGGACCTGGTGTGGTCAATGTTGTATGATTATATAAGATGTGTTTTGGGTAGAGCTCCCCGTACAAATGAGACTTTGCATGAATTTTGTTAAGTTATAGATCTCGATAAATGAGGTATAATGGTGTAGTGTCGAGTTATACGGTATATATGTGTATTCCGTGGGTTGATGGGTAATCAATGAGATAATTATGAACACTCAGATTTTGAGGTGTCACATCCCCACTGCTATTTCCCTATCCATCAAGTCAATAAAAATTGTCTCTTTATTGGACGTCCATATTGCTACATTTTTGTCATTGTCAACCTTTATAATCTCATCATCATGAGTTTGTTCGTTATCCGTTTCCATTTACAACAATTTCTCAATTATACTAACAATTTCCTAACCACTACATATAACCATACTACTAATTCACTAATGTAACCCAACATGCATTTCAACACTATCAACATATATTAGACATACACACAGGGTCACCCACAAATGACTCCCAAACAAATCCAAATAAACAAAGTCTAGATAGTCAGAAGAAGTAATACGAGTAAAAAATGTATTGATGATGAGCTTAATTACAATTATAAGTTAACATAGTCACACAAACACACAATTACAGATCACACACACTCAAAGAACACACACAGACAGACCACACACTTATAGAACACACGTTCTCTCTCTTGTTTCTATTTGCAAGCCAAGAGAATACTCACAGAACACACATATTCATCAGCTTTGTAATTTTTTATTATATTATTGGGGGAGAAAGATCATGTCACAAAACACACACACAATCACATAAACCACACACATAGTCACACAGACCAGACATAGACCAGACAAGCACACACAGACCAAATACAAAACACACACAGTCACATAGACACAAACAGAAAACACACAGATACACACAAAACACACACAGACACACAGAATACATATAGAACACACACACACACACAAACTCAACACACAGACATACACATAACACACATAGACACATAGACCACGCACAGAACACACACAGTCACACAGACATAAACAGAAAACACACAAACACATATACACTGAACACATACATAACACACATAGACACACACAGACTCAACACACAGGCATACACAGACCACATATAGAACACACACAGTCACACATACACAAATAGAAAACACACAGACACACACAAAACACACACAGACACATACAACACATACAGAACACACATAAACACATACATAGTCACACACAGACTCACACAAACTCAACACATAGACATACATAGAACACACACAGACCACACACAGTCACACAAACGCAAACAAAAAACACACAAACACATACAAAACACACATAAACACACAGAACACACACATACACACACAGACACATAGAGAACACACGTACTTTGCACACCCAATTTTTTTGTAATGGAAAATGATAAAAATAGGGGGGGTTTTGATGGATTTGCACACACAAATTTTAGGGAAAAATGAAAAAAAGAGGGAGGTCCATCACAAATTTGCACACAAAACTCACCCTCACACACACACATACACACACAAAAAGAGAACACACATACTTTGCACACCCAAATTTTTTGTAATAGAAAATGAAAAAAAGAGGGGGGTTTCTAATGGATCTACACACACAAAATTTAGGGAAAAATGAAAAAAAAGTGAGTCCATCACACACACAGTAACAAAGTCCATCATAGATCTACCCTTGTATATATATATATATATATATATATATATATATATACATCTATGTTACCTTACATTCACAGATCTGATATATAGTTGAATGGATCTACCATATATTTGAATGGATACACTTACCTTTCACCAAACAGCGACAGATAAATCGATGGACCAGCAGATGGAGGATCGTCAGGAGATCTATTACTGGAAGCCTCTTCTTTGTCCCAGCTGCTGAGCTCATGCCATCGTGGAGGAGAACAGGTTCGTTGAGAGAGAGAGAAGAAAGAGAAAGTCATTGAGAGAGAGATTCGTTCAGAAAGAGAGAGGGCCTTTGTGAGAACGAAAATGAAAAAAGACCAAAAGGCCCTATATTTATAGTTGCACACATGCTGTGGTCCTTTGTGGCTAAAAAGAGTTGAAGTTGAGACCTCATTAAAATGCCTCTACTGCCAAAACACGTGTTTTGTGTTTTAGGTGTTTTTTGGAACACAATTTTTTTGTTTCCAATTTTTTGGCATATTTCTAAGATAACTAAGATGAAACAAAAAACAAAAATAATTACCAAACACGTTTTTATTTTTATTTTTGACAAAAATTGAAAACAAAAATACAAAACAAGAGATAAAAACACTAAACAAACAACCCCTAACTTTTGTTGTTGATAAATGAAACATGGGAAGAACAAAGTTTAATTCTTTAATGATAAATATGCTGTAAACATTCTTTTATGGGTTTCAAAATTCAGATATGCAAATTGTTGTTTAAATGGACATTATTAAAACCTTGACTTTCAACGGACCATTTATTGTAGGTGTGTCAATTTTACCCATTAACACGAATTTCACTTAACACAAAATTGAAAAATAACACGATTAATTGATACGGATAATAAATGAATCAAATTAAAGTTTGACACGAATAACATGATTAACGGATATTATACATAAAAAATAAATATTTAACGAGTATTGTAGACAAAAAATAAGAATTATATAAATTTTTTATATAATATTATATGAGNCATCATGAGATCTATAACTGGAAGCCTTTTCTTTGTCCCAGCTGCTGAGCTCATGCCATCGTGGAGGAGAACAGGTTCGTTGAGAGAGAGAGAAGAAAGAGAAAGTCATTGAGAGAGAGATTCGTTCAGAAAGAGAGAGGGCCTTTGTGAGAACGAAAATGAAAAAAGATCAAAAGGCCCCATATTTATAGTTGCACACATGCTGTGGTCCTTTGTGGCTAAAAAGAGTTGAAGTTGAGACCTCATTAAAATGCCTCTACTGCCAAAACACGTGTTTTGTGTTTTAGGTGTTTTTTGGAACACAATTTTTTTGTTTCCAATTTTTTGGCATATTTCTAAGATAACTAAGATGAAACAAAAAACAAAAATAATTACCAAACACGTTTTTATTTTTATTTTTGACAAAAATTGAAAACAAAAATACAAAACAAGAGATAAAAACACTAAACAAACAACCCCTAACTTTTGTTGTTGATAAATGAAACATGGGAAGAACAAAGTTTAATTCTTTAATGATAAATATGCTGTAAACATTCTTTTATGGGCTTCAAAATTCAGATATGCAAATTGTTGTTTAAATGGACATTATTAAAACCTTGACTTTCAACGGACCATTTATTGTAGGTGTGTCAATTTTACCCATTAACACGAATTTCACTTAACACAAAATTGAAAAATAACACGATTAATTGATACGGATAATAAATGAATCAAATTAAAGTTTGACACGAATAACATGATTAACGGATATTATACATAAAAAATAAATATTTAACGAGTATTGTAGACAAAAAATAAGAATTATATAAATTTTTTATATAATATTATATGAGTTGTTGTGAAATTAAATAATTTTTTTGTAATACGAATATTGATACGTACTAAAAATGATCCGACATGAAAATAACACGACTTAAAAATGACATAACACAATACTATTGACACTCCTAATTTCTTGGAAATTTGTGCTAATCATAAAGAAATTAGTTTTAATTTTTATTAAAGAATAAAATGGCCATTTCATAATTTTGGTGGGTCTGTTTGTTCACAGTTAATGACAAGGAATGCCGCTGTAATATTTAAATCGGAGGGAGTTATGTGATTAAGATCATCTCCACTCTTTACTTAAATTATTACTCAAATTTAAATTTGAATAAAAATAAACTAAAAACAAGCTCTAGTTTTTGACTAAAATATACACCAAATGAAATAAAATTCAACTTTTTACTTAAATAAAGACAGACTCAAATATTTAATGGTTATATTTTATTTTTTTAAAAAATCCAATGACCATATTTCACAATCCTTTAAATTTGAGTTTGTCTTACTTTAAATTTGAGTTTATCTTTTTTAAATTTGAGTTTATTTACTTGAATGTTTTGTATTAAATTAAATTTTTTATTTATTTTTTACTCAAATTTTCTCCTGAGTTTGCCAATATTAGAGAGGCCTAAGTGACAAACTTCAAATGAGTTGAATTAAATTTATCAAAAAAAATATTAATACTTGAGGGATAAAATTATATTTAATCTACTGCAAACAATAGAACTCTTCCAAGTTCCTACAACCTGTGGGTTAAAAAAAAAAAAAAAAATTAAAAAATCCTACAACCCTAAACCCTTGCTTTTCTCAGCTTTTTTGATATCATAAAACTCTGGTTTAAAACCCACTCTCTTTGTTTCTCCATATCTTCAGCTGTGCAACCACCACTAGAAGCCACAGTCATGGCGGAGCTCAAACTCTCAGAAATGAGAGACCTAACCCGAATAGAACGCATCGGTGCACATTCACACATACGCGGCCTTGGTCTAGACTCTGCCCTCGAACCCCGCTCCATATCCGAAGGCATGGTCGGCCAGACCTCAGCTAGAAAAGCCGCCGGCGTCATCGTCCAGATGGTGAAAGACGGTAAAATCGCCGGTCGGGCGGTCCTCCTTGCCGGCCAGCCAGGCACCGGCAAGACAGCAATCGCAATGGGCATGGCCAAGTCCCTAGGTCAAGAAACCCCATTCGCAATGCTCGCTGGGAGCGAACTCTTCTCTCTAGAAATGTCGAAAACCGAAGCCCTAATGCAGGCGTTTCGAAAGGCCATCGGAGTTCGAATCAAAGAAGAGAACGAAGTGATCGAAGGCGAAGTTGTCGAAATCCAAATTGACCGTCCTGCGGTGGCTGGTGTGGCCTCCAAGACTGGGAGATTGACCTTAAAAACGACGGAGATGGAGACAGTGTACGATTTGGGGGCGAAGATGATTGAGGCATTGGGGAAAGAAAAAGTTCAGAGTGGGGATGTTATTGCCATCGATAAGGCCTCCGGGAAAATCACGAAGCTCGGGAGGTCGTTTTCGCGGTCCAGAGATTACGACGCCATGGGGCCACAGACAAAGTTCGTTCAATGTCCTGACGGAGAGTTGCAGAAGCGGAAAGAGGTTGTCCATTGCGTTACTCTTCATGAGATTGATGTTATCAACAGCAGGTATGGATTTATATGCTTCATTGATGTTGAAGAATGCACATTTTTAGTGATTGTGTCGCTTGAATTCGCTTTTAGTACTACTGCATAATGCTTTCTTGTATACCACATTACATACCAACTAAATCAAGCCTTATCTCCCCATTATTTGAGGTCGACTACGAGTCCGTATTTGCCATTCATTTCTGTCATGTACTATAAGTTAAATATTTTTATATTTTTTCAAAGAGAAATTTTATCATTTTTTTATATTGCCATTCATTCCGTTGACCATGACCAAATCATCTTAATTTATTCTTTCTCGATTTATCTTCAATTGGAGCTACTCCTATCATTTTTTTAATATGGTAATTTTTTATTGTATCATTTTTAGTTTTTCCACGCATTAACCTTAACATTCTCATTTTCATTATACTCATTTTGTCACTCTGTTGTTTCTTAGTTACACAACATTCCGTCCCATAAAACATTGTTGTCTTTATAGCNTCTATCATTTTTAGTTTTTCCACGCATTCACCTTAACATTCTCATTTTCATTATACTCATTTTGTCACTATGTTGTTTCTTAGTTACACAACATTCCGTCCCATAAAACATTGTTGTCTTTATAGCTATTCAGTAACACTTGCCTTTTAATTTTATTGGTATCCTTCTATCACATAATATACCAAAGATTTTCCTCCACTTAAGCCGACCGACATTAATTTTATGAGNGCTATTCAGTAACACTTGCCTTTTAATTTTATTGGTATCCTTCTATCACATAATATACCAAAGATTTTCCTCCACTTAAGCCGACCGACATTAATTTTATGAGTTACATCGTCTTCAATCTTTCCATTATTTTAAATGATTGATCCTAGATATCTAAATGGTTTACTCGTTGATATTTCTTAATTTTTAGTCCTAACTTTTTTACTATGTCTACTTCTTCTGTTACTAAAATTGCATTGTATGTATTCAATCTTACTCTTACTTATTTTAAACCCTTTTGACTCAAATATCTCTCTCCAAATTTTTAGCTTATTGTTAATTTCTTTTCTAGTTTCATCTACTAAAACAATATCATCTATAAATAACATACACTATGGGACATCATCTTAAATGTGCGTAGTGAGTTCATTCATAATTAGGGTAAATAGGTATAGACTTAGAGTTGATCCTTGATGTAATCTTATCATACTTGGAAATTCTTTACTTTCTCTTATTGAAGACCTAATTGTAGTAATAGCTCCATCATACATGTTCTTTGTCATCTCAATACACCTATTTGTCATCTAAATATACCTATTTGTCATCTCAATATACCTATTTGTCAGCCATTTTCTCTCTAAGTACCGTTCATATTATATTTCTAGGCACTTTATTGTATGCTTTTTCAAGATCTATAAATACCATATGAAAAATTTTCTTCTTTTTTCTATATTTTTCTATGAGTGTCCTTCCTTAATAAATATATAGTCTCTATAGTTGATCTACTAAATATAAACCCAAACTGATTTTTTGAAACTGTAGTCTTAGCGCAGGTGATGTTCAATGATTCTTTCCCATAGTTTTATTGTTTGCCTCATCAATTTTATCCCTTTATAATCATTACAATTTTGAATATTTTTTTTATTTTTATAGATAGGCACTAAAATACTCCTCTATTTATCAGACATTTTTCTAGTAGTAATAATTCTATTGAATAATTTCGTTAGTCATGACACTCCATCATTCCCTAAGTACTTCTTGCGAAGAGTATTAGAGTAGTATATGTAAATTGTTAATAGTGTTAGGGGATTATGTGTAAATACAAGACGGTGTATGTGTAATTGTTATTAATGTGAGTTAATTATAAATACAAGTAGTGTATGAGAGTTAGATTAAGTTTTAACCTCTATTTGTTTCTCTCTAGTATTGTGTTAATTCTCTACACTTAATATGGTATCAGAGCAAAAATAATATAAATATTAATTATGGGTCGCGGTTGTGGTGCGTTGTTCATCGTGGTTGTCTTGTCCGGTGGTGGTGGTAGTCGACTTGGTTGGTTGACGTTGGCCGTCTTGTTTAGTGGTGGTGGTAGTTGACTAGTGTGGTCAACGTTGGTGGTAGTCGACTGGTATGGTCGATGTTCGTGGTTTGCGTCGACTGTGTAATCGACTNTTTAGTGGTGGTGGTAGTTGACTAGTGTGGTCAACGTTGGTGGTAGTCGACTGGTATGGTCGATGTTCGTGGTTTGCGTCGACTGTGTAATCGACTGATTGTTCTTGGTGGTGGTGGTGGTGGTGGCAGTGGCTTCTGGTTCTGCATCGGTGATTTGCGTCGGTAGTGTTAGGTGTTCATTGCCGTCGTTGAAGGAGGGCAGTCGATGTTGAAGGAGGGGCATTAGGGTTTGTTCTTTAGTGAAGATGATGACTGAGTCTAGATCCAGATGCATACCCGGATCTAGACTAAGATCCAGTAGCCTCAGACTAGACTGGCTCAAGTCTAGTTCAGGCCCGGTTCAATCTGTTTAGACCGGTTCAGGCACGGTTCAGTCAGTTTTAGACCGGTTTAGGGCTGGTTCAGTCAGTTTTAGACCGGTTCAGGCATGATCCATCTGTTTTGTCTCCGGTTCAGCAATCTAGTGGACTTTTCTAGTCCGATTCAGCGGTCCAGTAGACTTTTCTGGTCTGGTTCAGTGGTCCAGTGGACTTATTTGGTCTGGTTCAGCGGTCTAGTGGACTTCTCTAGTCCAGTTCAACACTCCAGTTAGGTTCTCCAGCCTGGTTTGGTGATCCAGCAACCTTTTCTTCTTTATTTCAGCAGTGCAGTAGGTAATTTTTGTCTGGTTCAGTGATCTAGTGACACTTAACACTNCTGGTTTGGTGATCCAGCAACCTTTTCTTCTTTATTTCAGCAGTGCAGTAGGTAATTTTTGTCTGGTTCAGTGATCTAGTGACACTTAACACTTCGAAACCTCAATTGAAATCTCATCTGGTGCTAAAGTCTTGCCTAATTTTATTTTCTTCAATGCAACTATGTCTTTGAGTTCTTTATTTTATGAAAGAACATGTATGCTCTAATTTCATAAATCCTACCAATTTTTATCTCTTCTAAGTTTGCTAAGTGATTTTCATTTAATAGTTTCTCAAAATAGTAATTCCATTGGTCATTTATTTTCTCATTCTTAACTAAAACCTTTGAATCCTCGTCCTTGAAGCACTTAACTTGGTATTATCACATTCTATATGAAGTTTAATTTAGGTTTAGGGCTAGAGTCTATTGGTATTGAACATTTGCATTTCTGTACCTATATGGTTTCAGAGACAGCAACTATGACTCTTTAATTCTAGGTGAGAATGGCCAGGTTTTCACCATTATGAAAATTGAACCGTTTGGGTACTCATATCAAGCCATTGTCTATGTTTTGGAGTTGGAATTGACATCATTGCAACCCCATCACCTTGTTTATGTCAGGAACCACTGTCTTTTTTGTCACTCATATAATTCTAGTTCTCTGTGTTGCATGAGTAATTATTTTTCTCTTTTGTATCTTGTGCTATAACCACTTTGATTTTCTCTTTTCTTTTGTTTCGTATTTCAAATTGGGACATTGTGAAGTTTTTGCTTAGGTTTTATGTTATCATGTTCTTATATCTTTTACTTCGCATATGTGATTTCCCTAATTTTTGTTGCTTTGATAAGGACTCAGCTTGCAGTTGCATAACCTACCAAAGAAATCTTGCAACTGCATCTGAATTAATGATAATTATTTCTTTAATATTTGAAAATATTTTCAAAATTTGGTGAATGACAAATCTGTTAGCCAAAGTGCAACCTTGTCCCCCGCCCCGCGAGGGGGGGGGGGTGAAAGGCAAATCATTAATTAAAAAATCAATTTCATTAATTGTGAAATTGATTAACCTATATGATAGTTGTTAATGAGATGAGTATGAAATTGTCTGTGTGAGTTGACAAAGACAAAATAAAGTAAAGAGTGGGAGAGAGAGCAAACACAATAATATATAGTGGTTCGACCCCAACACTTTGGTCTACGTTCTCTCTTCCTTCTCCCCTCAGAGATTCCTTTTCTCTTTCTTGAATCTCTTCAATAGGTGAGATTCTATGAATCACGGATATAAATACGGGATACGGATACGGTACGACATGGATGTGACAATACAATAAAATCTACAAAAAGGGATATGGGTACAGATAGGATATGTCCATAAAATATATTTTTAAAAAAATATTATTATTATATTTAATGTAATAATTATGATTTATAAAGTGAATCACACATCTATTTAAAATATATAATAATAACTTACCATTCTATCATTCATAAATGATACATTCTACATCACATACATATTGCATAATATCAAGTCCAGCAGTAAAATAGTTCAAATGCACCTCAAATACAACAGGTAGTAGGAATAGTAAAGTAACAATAACACACCTCAAATGTAGTAGTTCAAATGCAGTACTTCACTGGTAAAAGAGAGGAGAGAGAGAGTGCGAGAGAGGTTACCTGATGATACTTGAACAGAGAGAGAGAGAAAGGAGACACTCGTTGATCTTCAACAATATCAAGAGGGAGGAGAGACGTCATCGACGTCAAAGAGAGGCCATCGGAGGAGAGAGAGAGAAGAGGGGCAGCGTCAGTCGATCGTATTCGACTGAATGGAGGGGAGGTTTTGTCGAATAAGAATTAGACCTTAGGTTTTTTTTTTTTGCAAATAAGGGCCCAAACATATTTGCTTCGGTGCCCCTATTCTTTTTAAAAAAATCAAGTAATACCCCATCATATCTCTAACATATCCTGATGTATTCGAAATTCAATTTTTTTTTTTTTAATTCTAGAATACTTCCCAGCCGTATCGAATATGTATCCAGCTATATTAGACACATATTCGTATTTGGAAATTATCCAATATTGATACTTTGACCTTTTTAAAGTATCCGTGCTTCATTGGTGAGATTTTAACACCTATACACTTGTTCTTCCTTAAGTACAATACAAGAATTCCTCTCTTAAAAGACTCACTCAAGAAGAATATAATATCACCCTCTCTTTCTTCTCAAGAATAATCTCTCAAATCAATAGTAGAAGATTCGAAGAATAATGATTGTTCTCTAAAAAGCTACAATAAAGAATAAGATCTTCTTTGACTTATAGCTCATAAGTTCACTTGTGCAAGAGTCCACAAAATGCCTTTAAGACCTCTATATGAAGTGGAGATAAAAAAGAATTCAAATGTTGAAACTCAGTGAATTTGAATTCAATTTCAGGAGCCTCATCCGATATACCAGATGGTATGTCGGATTGTTACCACTGTCTTATAACGGTTACATCCGATATACCAGTTCACTTGTCTGGTATACCAGCTTGTCAGACATCTTCGTGTTTGGCTGGATACTGGAAGCTTCTGAGGTTTTTTGGTGCATCAACTAGTATGCCGATTCATTTGAGAAGTTTTGTCTGTTCATCAGAGAATGGCAGGTGAAGATACTGTAAGCTTTGGAGCTTTGCCGGTTCTACATCCAGCATGTTGGTTCATCCATTCGGTTTATCCATCTGTCATATCTCTTCCTATTTTCTTTTTCCTTTGATCTTGCCTTCTTGCCACCNTTCTAAATATCTAAGTTCTAATTTTACAAATCAGAATCAGTATTACAGTAAATTAGAAGCAACATTGCAGGGAAAAACTAGATATAGAGAAACATTACAAAAGTAGAAAAAAGAAGAATCAGCGTTATAGAAAAAAAGCAGAAGCATAGAAACATTACAGAATCGGTATTATAAAAACAGAAAAAAGAAGCAGCAAAGAAGCATAACCAGAAGCAGAGAAGCAAAAGTAGAATTAAAACTAGAACCAGAAGCAAAAGCATAATTAGAAAAAGAGAAGCAAGAACTAGAAGAACAGAAGAAGCAGCAGAAGCACAGAAGCAGAATCATAACCAAAAGCAAAAGAGGAGAAGAAAGAGAGAGGAAGCAGAACTAGAAGAAGAAAAATCAACAGAAGGAGAGAAGAGGAGAGAAGAGAACATACCTTTGTTGTCAAAGAAGAAGACAGAAGATAGAAGCAGCAGTATAAGCAAGAGAAGAATTAAAAAAGTAGAAGAAGAGAGGAGACGGAAGAGCAAAATAGAGAAAAAACATGTACCTGTGTGGTGTTTTTTGTCGAAGAAGAAGACAGAAGCAACAAATGCAAAGCTTTCAGTTCTGTTGCTTCCGTCGAAGAAGAGGAAGAATTAAAAGAAGAGAGAGAGAAAAATGAGAGAAATAGAGAAGAAGAATAGAAATAGAAGAGAGAAGAAGAAGAGAAATAGAGAAATAGAGAAGAAGAGAAACATAAGAGAGAAGAAAAAGAGAAACATAAGAGAGAAGAAGAAGACAGGGGCAAACCTGTGGGAGCCGCAACAACAATGGTCTGACTTTTAGGCAAAATTAGGTTTAGGTGTTTGTATATATTAGGATAAGGGGACAATTGGGTGTTTGGACATCTCATAATTTTGTTCCAATTGTTCAAATCCAACGGTCCATAATAAAAATAAAACAATTCAATAGTCCATAATAAAAAAATAAAACAACTTAAAAAACTTAGCTAAGGTGTTGCTTTTCTCGCCTTTCGCTTAAGTGAGAGGCGCTCACTTCTCTCACTTTTCCATCGCTTCAGTCATGTTCGCTTTACTTGGTTGTTCAAGGCGAGTCACACTCGCTTCGCTTCTTGTCTAGACGAGCTTTTCACAACACTGCCCCAAGGAAAATTAGTAAAGCTTGCACAAAACGGGTTCCAACAATCAAGCAATTTGGGCCCAGTTAGTGATCTTGACTAAGAAGCTCACTTGAGATTGACTAGTGAGATAAATGAACCAACCTTGAGTTTCATTTGAAATTCTTTTAAGATTTTCGAACCAAGCTTACCCACTAATTGGCTGGACTCAGCTTGTTTACACCCCTCAAAAGCGCCAAAAGTTTGGTCCAATGCATGAACATGCAGTGTATGTTTTTTTTTGATTAAGAAATATCAAATATACCACTTATGCGCTTGAAACTGTATGTCCATGCTCTCATATGCATTCGATGTGTATGTGAGGATAGCCTTGAGCCATGGAACAACTCATTAATTGATTTGGTTTAATGGCTACAGATATAAGCCATGTACCAGCAAAATACTCTACTAGTGTCTTTGTCTATGTTTACATATACCAGTAATTTCATATGGATGGGGTAGGACCTTTTTTTAATAGCTGAATTTAAAAGGTGGGGGTGGGGTAGATTGTGCTTTTCATGGGTTGATTTTGCCATCATTGATTGTCAAAAATTATTTGCCCATTAGGATGACACTCTTAATATTTGGACCCCCAATATTTTTTGTTAAAATGAGATACTTTGTAGTATTTCTTCCTTATTTCGGATATGATATCCATTCTTGTGCTGCTAATATATGTTGATTGCTATGTGCAACCTATCAAAATTGCCCCCATCTTTAAAGTTATGATGACCTAGGCAGTTAGTTGTTGCAACCATGGTAGTGGATGTGTTAGTCCTTTCTATTGAATTTTTATCTAGCTTGGTTTCTAGGATTTAGTAGCTACTTATGGAGGTTGATGTGAAACAACTCTCGACTGACTAATGGCTTGAGACCTAAATGTTTGTTTGTAGAGGGATTATGGTAAAAAATACAAGAGAAAATTTTCAAATTTTCCATGTGCTTGGTTAGCTTGAAATGGAAAATGATGCAAAAAATAAATTTTCTCAATACTTAGATTTTCTCACTAGTAACCAACATTTTTTTTGTATTTTTTGGTAAAAAATACTAGAAAGAAAAAAAGTTGTGATATATAATTAACTTTTCATGTTAACCTTATTTTGCTTAAAACATTCAATTGGTTATTAATTTTGAAAAACTTAGTATTGGTTAGGCTAACCATATAATATGGCCAGAAAATTTGGGTTCGAGCCAATCCTTGTCCCAGAACTAGGTTAGGAGCTGCTTTTTTGAAGTTTAAAACAATAGAATGAAATTTTTTAAAAATTTTCTGTCAAATTTTTCATGCTATTCAAATACCTGCATGAAAATATATTTTCTTTCATTTTATTTTCTTTCACTTCATTTTTTATCACTTTTACTTTCCATCATTCTTTTATTCCTAACCAAATGGACCCTAGGGTTTTCATGCCTGCCTCCCCCCTTTTCCCCTTCTTTCAAAAACCATAATGTACATGTAGTGGCCAACAGTTGCAACAAAGATCTTGGCTGCCTCAAATGATAAGCCAAAAGTGTATGGAAACCCAATGGGCCCTATCTCTCTTTAATAGTGGGCAGCAGACCTTGCCTGCCTCTAAACAGTCCAATCCTGCCGTCATTTTTTTCCATAATTTTGTGCTTGGGATTGTTGCAAAAGCTTGCCAGACATTAACATCCACTTTCAGGGTAGTACAAGTACTTTGTAATTTTGGAAATAAAAGATGAAGAACTCCAATAATAAGACAAACATGTCAAAGCAACAAATGTTTTAGGGAGATGATGCTAGACTCTAGCGAATGCTCATGAAACATTTGANAATAAGACAAACATGTCAAAGCAACAAATGTTTTAGGGAGATGATGCTAGACTCTAGCGAATGCTCATGAAACATTTGAGGAGAGCCATTTCTTTGCCTTGTTTTTCTTCTCTTCATAGTAATGGTTCTGTCTTCGCTCGACTGTCCTTCCTTTGGTATGCAATGTTTTAACGGGATACTGGCAAAGTCAAAAAACATTTCTTACCTTCCTCCTCTTCTTCCTGCAAAATCAGGAGAAAGGTACCCACCTTTTCACAGGGTAGCTTTTCATCCTTCCTACTCTATCCTCCTTCCAGTATCCATCTCTTAGAATATGAGGGCATATTCTATGTAATGTTCCCCTTCTCTTTTTCATCTCTTTTTTGCGCTATAATCCTTTCATAGTTCTCGGTGCTGCCTTGATTCTTTTCCTTTAGCTGTAAACTTAGTCATAGAGGATGTCAATTTTTCTTCTTTACATATTTATTGTGTTGAACCTTATGTTCATTTCAATATTCAGAACGCAGGGGTTCCTGGCTCTCTTCACTGGTGATACTGGTGAAATCCGTGCTGAAGTAAGGGAACAAATTGACACAAAAGTCGCTGAGTGGAGAGAGGAAGGGAAGGCAGAGATCGTGCCAGGCGTCCTTTTCATTGACGAAGTGCACATGCTTGATATTGAATGCTTTTCCTTCCTAAACCGTGCTTTGGAAAATGAAATGGCACCGATATTGGTTGTAGCTACCAACAGGGGGATCACTACAATCCGAGGCACAAACTACAAATCTCCACACGGCATTCCAATTGATTTTCTTGATCGCTTGCTCATCATCTCTACACAGCCTTACACAGAAGAAGACATTCGGAGAATTCTGGACATTAGATGCCAAGAGGAAGATGTGGAAATGTCTGGAGATGCAAAGATTTTGTTGACTAGAATTGGAGTAGATACATCTCTGAGATATGCCATCCACCTGATCACATCTGCTGCCTTGGCTTGCCAGAAGAGGAAGGGGAAGCTTGTGGAAATGGAGGACATTAGTCGTGTTTACGAGTTGTTTTGGGATGTGAAGAGATCAACGCAATACTTGATGGAGTATCAGAGCCAGTATATGTTCAATGAAATGCCAACGGGGGAGGGGGATCAAGATGACACCAATGCCATGATGTCATGAGTAACTCCTGTGTAGAGGTATCCAGAAATTTGTAAGTCTAGGCATCTTCCTCTTCCTCTTTGTTTGCTCTGCACGAATCTATTCGGAAAGGAGATTCACTTTGTAATACTTGGTGTTTGTGAAGTCTGGATGAGCAGCTTTTACGTTGTTTTGATATGCCTATACTTTGCAATTCTCCTTGTAGCCTCAATCACAAAACTGGGTAAAATTTTTGTGTGCTTTCGTTCGAGTGAACAGAAGTGGAGGTGTTTTCTCCTATTGTGTTATAATCGCTTGTAGTGCTATGTCCCTTGACATGGCAATGATCATATAAGTAGTCATGCACACTCAAACTGAATAATCCGAGTTTCTTAAGAGTACCAACTAATATTTTATCATGCTCACGCTGGACAACGAAACTGCAACGGGCACAAGGGAAAAATCCAGTGGATCGGTATGTACATAACCATAGCAACCACACTATATTATCATCAAAATTCAGAGTCCTTTCCAGTCTCATTCTAGCAAGACCCAACAGAATACTGGGGCTTCTGTTTCTCGGGTCACGTTTGCAATCCCCGTGATATATACGAGCTTTGAGCAGTGATCCCTTGCAGTAGAATTTATACGTCCACTTGTTCCTCCTCTGTTCCGCAAAGAAAACAGTTGGCCTCACTTTCTCATGGGTTTTATGGCCCTTGTTTTCCTAGTCTTCCATGCAACAACATTGACCAATTACAGTTTTTGATCGCAACACCGTAGCGCTGTCCGGCGAAACTCCGGTTCACTAAGAACTTCGTCAAGTGAGGACTGAGACACTTCAGGTGATCCCATCACTAGAAAAGTTAAAACCCGATCACATCGTAGCATGGTCTCATCTTCAATGTGAGATGTTTCAAACCCTACTGCATATTGAGGGGAGGGATATGATAAACAAAAAGCTCCTCAAATTTTTACGTCCAATCTCTCACTTCATTCACCTGTGAAGAATTCAAAGTCGAAATTAATTCTTTTGTTTCACATTTTTCTTCATCAACATCGAAAGAAGAATACCCAAGCAAGAAAGCTTCAAGTGGATCTAAACAAGAAGAGCCATTAAATTGATTATGCATAATAGATTCAATCAAATTCAGTTTATGTTAAGTCATCATCCCCATCACTAGGTTGTTTGCAAACGTTGAATATTTAATTTCAAAGTCGTATTCTCAAAAGATAATTTCATAATACCATTCCTTCAATTTATTTAAACATCTTTTTATCCATTTTCACTTCTAATCGCTCCGGATCGTTTCCCCTTCATGCATTTNTGTTTGCAAACGTTGAATATTTAATTTCAAAGTCGTATTCTCAAAAGATAATTTCATAATACCATTCCTTCAATTTATTAAAACATCTTTTTATCCATTTTCACGTCTAATCGCTCCGGATCGTTTCCCTTTCATGCATTCGCCCTCTTAAAGATTCAAATCAACAGCCAAACAATACAAAAGAGGGATAAAATTCAGAACGTAAACAATTATGCACAATTAACTACTTATCCAATGTAATTAACCAAATAATTTAATAATACCATGCACAATTTATTACTAATCATGACAATTTTACTAATGTGTTAAAACTCGCCCAATCTATTTACGNTTATCCAATGTAATTAACCAAATAATTTAATAATACCATGCACAATTTATTACTAATAATTACAATTTTACTAATGTGTTAAAACTCGCCCAATCTATTTACGCTCCACTAACTAAAGTACCATATAAAAAGTTGATTGTAATATTGCTACACTACCCACCCCCCACAAGAATCAGTGTCTTGTGGTCATGGACATACGAAGCCCAACCTTGAATCACGGGCACATGCATAATCAATGGGATTTCATCACTAACAAANCCACCCCCCACAAGAATCAGTGTCTTGTGGTCATGGACATACGAAGCCCAACCTTGAATCACGGGCACATGCATAATCTATGGGATTTCATCACTAACAAAATATCTTGCCCATGAACAGTGACGGAGCGTAGGTATGGCATGAGTGGCCATGGCCCCCTGTATTTTTTTTATAATCTGTAAGTATGTATTAGTATTACAGTACTGAGGCTTCTGGCTTGGAGTTTTAATTAGTAGTGTAAATACTTGGCCCCATATACATGTACTCTATACATAGGAATCACGTGTGAAACAGTTAATAGACTTGGCCCCAACACAACAAAATATTCTTCTNATGGCATGAGTGGCCATGGCCCCCTGTATTTTTTTTATAATCTGTAAGTATGTATTAATATTACAGTACTGAGGCTTCTGGCTTGGAGTTTTAATTATTAGTGTAAATACTTGGCCCCATATACATGTACTCTATACATAGGAATCACGTGTGAAACAGTTAATAGACTTGGCCCCAGCACAACAAAATATTCTTCAATTCTTTTCATCCCTGGTACGTAATAGCCATTAGCAACCAATATTCTTCCCTTAACACATGGCCATGGTAAATAGAAAGTCAATAAATTGGTATATCAAGAGCAAAATTGGTAGATCAAGCCAAAATAAATTAATCAATCCTTGCTTTTTAGATTGATGGGTTAGTATTTCTGATTTTTACTACTAAAAAAATTCTGATTTTAACTATTATTTCTGGTTAGGACCAAAGAATAATATTTTTTGATTGAGGTTTTTGGTTATTGTATTTTCTTTATTCATTGTTGTAGTGATTAGTATAAGACTTTTTTTTTTTTTTCAAATTTTTGTGTCGAATTTCAGCAAACTACAGTTGATTGATACTTTTGAGTTGAATAGTTATTGCTTTCATCTGTTTGAATGAGTACCATAGTTAATGTTTTCCTCTAACTGTGCAATTCGAATTTTTGTTTGTCTAAGTGTTGGTTCATAAAGTTTTGCCAACCCCAAAAATAAAATTCTAGCTCCGTTCCTACGCATGAACACCTTTAAATTGTTGGCTTATCTTTTCTTTCTACGGTCGTTAAATTGTCAAATATGTCAAACACATCTATACATAGTATACTAGTGACGAACCCATACAATACACATACAAATTATATTGAAAATATCATAAAATTAAATACTATCTGTTGGTTTCCATAAATGATTTCTCTTTCAATGGATGAACTTAATCCTTTCTGAGAGATCTTAGTCGACTGTTCGATATTGGGTTCAATTGTCTTGTTTTAAGACTTCCTTAGATGATCACAATCGATGGAATTTAAGCAAGTAAAGTAAAAGCAAAATGATTAACAAAGGTGAAGAACACTTTTATTAGTCTGAAAAGTTTCAGGTTACAACATTCTGATGAACAGTCTTTAGGACTAATCTTAATTTTAATTCTAGCCTAAAACTACTCCTAAAATGCCCAAGTCATGGGTCGTTGATGGGTTGGATCATGTCTTCTCCTTGTAATTAATCCATTTTTTATAGGCATCCTTCCATCGACGATTAATCTGACTTCCTTTAGGAAGTTTCTTCTCCAGTCTCTTCCTTGTCTTAACTGCTATTGTTAAATTCTTAAATTCTTAAAGTCCATTTGTTGTTGGTAACTATTGCCGTTTTTAAATTTCAAAATAACTGTTTCATTCCCTATCTTTTGGAGGTTGTAATTGTTCTTGAATTTAAACAAGTAACATCGACTGACTGTGTCTTCATTTTAAATTAAATGAATGTCACACGACAAATTCTCCTGTTGATTGTATTCAATGGACAAGTGTCATTCATCACTTTTTAAAGAGAAATGTAGAATTTTTCAAAAACAATTACACATCATACTAAAAAATCAGAATTATATGTACATTATACTTTCTAAATTATATAAATAAACTTAATTATAGACAATTACTCCCTCTAATTTAACATTATGTTATTTTTCAAACATAACTTCTTATTTACCAGATTAAGAGAGCAATATTATTATGACCTAATTTGTCAAACTAATTCATTACAACCGTTGGATTGACTGGAGGTCCTATCAAATATTAAAACTTAGTGTTGATTCAATAGTTTCAATAAAATCACATTATTAGGTCAGATTTTTAGGTCCAAATAACATTACTCAAAATTATAAACAATAGTTATTTGTGAATAGTGAGATTGTGTAAAAGCAAAGAGTGATTATAAAATTTTTTAATTCTGAAATTTGTGTTCAAGATTAAGACAAATACTAAGGAATTTGAACACATAGAGGTTTTGATATCTTCGAACTGGCTCCGGCCCCTCTCCATCCTTGGTAGAAATGGAGAACCTCCATTCTTTCACTATAATTAGCCACTTGTCATTTGTTTTGTTTTAAGGCTAGGATTTCCTCAACTGTTGTTTACCTTCGCACGTCTCTTTTTCCCATCTAACTGATGAAACATGCCCTCAAATACCCTTATATTTTTCCCTCCAAATTTAAGAGCCATGGATAAGTCCCGCCATAGTTGTTTATGACATATTCACATGGGCAAAAGCAAGTTGATAAGTCCAACGGACTAAAGGACAAACTCACTTCAATATTACTATTTTAGAAAAATGATGCACAACTTGCATGAAATGAGAATTCGATATTGGAAAAAAAAGTTAAATAAAAATTATTTTTTTTTTCTTAATCAATTAATGGGAAAACAATGAAAATAAAAAATGATCTATAAATTTTGATTAAGTACGCTAAGTGTGATGAGTCTGAAATTAATTGGACTAGGCCCAATTAATCAAGAAAGACCCACGTCACCTCGGAACCCAAGCCAACAAGTCAAGGATGAGTCCAAGTCAAGGGAAGCCAAAATCAAGGAGGAGTTCAAGGGGGACACCCTCAAGGGGCTACCCCAAAGGGGCGCCGCCCAAGGGGGGCCACCCTAAGGGAATCCTTCCTTCTTTTGTCCCTTGCTCCCTCTCCTACGCAACCTCGCGGAGTCCTTCGCTCTCTTGACTCTATCACTTCAATTCAAGTCTAGCATCCACCAATTCAAGTCCAAGCCCAAGATTGTCCTTCGACTAAATAGGAGTACGAGGGAGAGAATATCGGGATAC